AGGGTACTCGGCAGCGGGTCAGGCTGGTGCGTGTCTGCACACCATGGCGGTGTTACAGGCATACCAAGCCGACCTGCTTAAAGAGCTGGATGAAGGCGAGGAGATCAACTCTGATAGTATCACAGAGCTTAGGAGGACCGCTGATCTTTCTCTCCGCGCCACCAAAGAGACTGCTCGCACTATTGGGCGGTCCATGGCAGCTATGGGGGCAGCGGAGAAGCACCTGTGGTTGACCCTGTCAGATATGAAAGAAAAGGACAGGGTCTTCCTCCTCGACGCCCCCCTTGCGCCTTCTGGCCTGTTAGGCGACGCCGTCAATTCCGTTGTCGACAGGTACCAGGAGGCTCGTAAACAAGCGGCAGCGTTTCAGCGGTTCCTCCCTCGCCGCTCTCTAGCTCTGGGGGCTGCTGGGCGGGAGCAGCCCCCTCCGCGTACTGGCTCCTCGTACAGGGACACCCAGAAGCAGAGTGTCGCCTCTCGTGCTCCCCCACGTCGGGACCAGGGGTCGAAACGACGCTCAGGGTCGGGGGCTTCAAAGCCGAAACCAGATTTAAGAACTTCTCTGGAGGCTAAGAAGTCCTCGACCAAGAAGTCCTGATGCCAGTGCCTCAGGACTTCTGAGGGCAGGCCCCTCTGGGGTAGAGCGGGGTTCACCGCATTACACTGTGCCCGTCTCTCCTCAGTGCCCTCAGGAGATCGATCTGCCAACCCTGCCGGTGTTCCAGGGCGCAGCGGTCTCCCGCAAGCTCTTCTATCAGCTACCGCCCGGAAACGAAGCGGTGCTAAGAGGCTCGCCGCCTCCATGGAGGTCTCTAGACAGCTAGTTCCACCGTCCCCTGCCGGTGTGCCGCTTCAGGGCACCGAGCTAGCTGCTTCAATTACACCAGAGGTCAGATTCGAGAGACTTATTCCCTTAGTACACTATATAGCAGCGTGGAAACTACTGCCAAATGTGTCTCAGTGGGTCCTGCACACTGTAGAAAGAGGTTACAGAATCCAGCTTGGTTCTCCTCCTCCTCCCTTCAACGGGGTTCTTCCCACCCTGGTGGGCCCCGAGCAGGCTCTGGTAATGGAACAAGAAGTAGATACTCTCTTAAGAAAGGAGGAGTTCAATATCGGGCAAAATATGTAAAAAAAAAACAACATAATATTAATAAAAAATATACAGTTCAGTCAAGAAACTCTAGATGGCGCAGGCTGACGAGTTGTTAATGTAACTGATGATATTCAGAGAGTTAAACGACTTGGCACAAGCTGATTGGTTCATGCTGCATATGCAGCCAATGAGCTTACTGCCTTGCATTTATATGACTGGCTAGCATTCACTAGAGATTCGTGCAGTGCACTTTTCAGAGTTTCTCTGAAACCCTCTACCTTCCTCAGCTCCATCTGTATAGATCTGCTACGGGTTATTTTATATGCTATTTGTGCAGCAGCAGTATGTCTTAAATACTCACGGCACCGTATCGCCGTAGGCATTGGCAGTAGCAAGTTCCTGTACATGCTTGCAGCAGCAGCAGCAATAATCTACAACTACAGCAATAACCAACAGCAGCAGCGTAGCAGATCTGTTCCGCCAAGACCAAATACATTAACATTGTCATATCCATCACCATGCTAAAATGTTCTGAGAGTTGTCATGATTGAACTATAATAATATTAAAATAACACTGTTGTGACACTAAAATAACACCGTTGCATTGTGGAATATGGTATCTAACAGATGTAATAGGTCAATGGATATTAAATGCATAAGAAAATTCACTGTGTGCCCAGTATATGGTACATACTAAAGTATATAATACTACAGTACATACTGCAGCAACAGGTCCAATGCTATTTGGCTTTTCTTTGCACAAAAAACACACAGACGACGGGTTTGGCAGATATAGATATGCATTTATAGGTTTGATTTTGTTTTTTGTTTTCATACCAGATAAATAAAAAGTTAACAATACAATCTGGTCACTATTATATGTGGAGTCCATATGATAATAATGACCAAATTAAAACATGATTGTCACTCAGTGTGCTTCACAAAAATCTGTCAATGAATAAATTATCTGGTGAACTTCATCTATTTACAGTATAAACAAAAGAAATGATCACGAACACAAGCTTTGGATCTTGGGACGGGACGTTTCAGCAGTTTTTCCATCGTTCCACACAAACACAACCACAGAGGGCAGAAACACGCGTTAATATGAGCGCTTTAATGCCACGCATGATCGACTGTACATGCCAGACGCCTGGAGTTCATAAAAACAATGATAAAATCAACATCCACGTGATGTGCATTCCACACAAACATGAAGACACTCGTCTGATGAGGAGACGACGGCAAGAAACGTGTTGAGGAACAGAAGACACGAGCGGATGGAGATAATCGTGAGGCGAGTGCAGGGAAACATCGGTTCGGTTTGGCTCGTGTGTTTCTGCTCCAGTTTCAGCCGTCGTGTGTTTCAGTGTCCGGGGAAGGTGAGACATTAGAGCAGCTTACGCTCACATTACCCAGAATTCAAGTATTCCAGTGCCACCTCATAGCAGAACTTATACTGATCCTGCAGGAGAAACACACACACACACACACACACACCAACAGAGGTCAGTGTAACACAGTATGTCAACACAACGTTTAACTATTTAACCCTCATAATGCATTCAAAATCTATATGCAATTTTCTTATTCTGGACCAGAACATTTTTTTTTTATAAAACAGTCATAACTTACTATTTTTCAACTAAAACCATATGTGATCAGCAACTTCTCATTAATGAGTCAATGTGATTTTTTTTTTTTTTAAGTTTTGAATGTTACCACATTATTACTGCATTTACCCTTTCTTATTCATTAAAAAATGTAGAAAACTCTTTGAAATTTAAAATTACTCATCCAACCTAACAAAACCAAGATGCAATATATATATATTTCTCAATACTGATGTGAAATTACATTTGAATATATTATTGTATGAAATTTATAAGAACATATAATCTGAGAATTACCAGCATCAACACCATTAGAATGAATTCAACTGAATTAAATTCATTTCCATTTATAACTCATGATTGCTCAAAAACAGTCAAAATTTATGAAACCTACATACATTTTTTTTTTAAAGTTTATTTTGAGGGTTTAAGCATTTGCAAAGTTTGTTCCCTCACTAAACTATGCATTGTTTAGTAATTTTTATGTATCTCTTCCGGCTCAAAATGGACCGAATGCATTATAAAGGTTAAGTTGTTAGTGGTGGTAGACATGATAATACACTTTCTTTTTTTACATTTATACTTTATTTGAAATAATAAAAAAATAATAAAAAATTAAAATAAAATAGAAATGCAACATTTTTTGTATAACAATTCCTTTAAAACAGAATACTGCATTTTATTTTATTTTGAATTTTTTTTTTTTTACTTGACTAAATACATTTTGAAAGTTAGATTATATTTTTAAAGTTTTATGAATTATTTTATAGGAACATTTTGAGGATTTAATGAATTATTAAATTATAAAAGTTTTATGAAATCAACTGATTAGACATGATTTTTGATGATTAATACCTAATTAAACTATTAAAACTGAATACAGAAAAATTGTGCTCTACAAATGTCTGAATGCTGGTTTTCAACAGCAAAAATGTTTTTGTTTTTTTTACTAAACATTTTATTAGATATTTTGCACAGGACTCCTGCCATGACAACTACACTGACATCGCATGATTGAACATATACTGTATGTGCATTATTATTATTTGTTTTATCATTAAACAGTTTAAATGTCTGTGTTAGACTCATTTCCCCTTTGGTTTTGCGCCAGTAATATCCTCAGTAGATGCTCAAACCGCTGTCAGGTGTGGATGTGGATGTTCTGACGCTCACCAGCAGATCCACCATGTTGGGTTTGTTGTTTCTCAGTGTTTTGACGGCGTGAAAGACGTCCACCGAGTGCTGGTGACACAACATCTCACACACGATACTGATGGCACAGAACGTGCCGCTGCGCCCGCCGCCGTTACTGAAACACACACACACACACACACACACACACACACGATCATCATCATCACATCACAATAAAACATCTCGCACACGATACTGCGCCCGCCGCCGTTACTGAAACACACATCATATATGATTATCAGCAACAGTACATGAAGTACATAAAACATTTCAGTCTCACAGCTGTCATTTCTGACTGATGCTGCTGTAATTGCCTCTAAATCAAGGTTATTATTGTTAACTAAGACTGAAACTAAAACTAAAACCATTAAAAAAACAGTTTCATTAGGCCCTACTTGAAATAAAATAAACAAGAACCGAAATAATATATATAAAAAAATTAAACTTCATTTTTTTCAGCTAGTTGCCAAGGCAACATTTCTCATTTTCTTTTAATTTAACATGAAATATTAAAATAACTGAAAGTGGAATAAAAATTAATAAAACTATATAGACCAAAAAATAAGTAAAAATGACAAAAACACTCAACAAATATAATAAAACCTTAACTAAAATGAAAATGAAAAAGGAAAACAAAAATAACTAATTCAAAATTAATACAGGAAAATAATGTTGCAAAACACATTCAGCGAATTCAATTTCAGCTGTAAAGCACCTCAACAGAATTCACAACAATTACAAATCTGAATTAAAGTTACAATCTCAAATATATTTACTACTGTTAAGCACATTTAATCAATCTCAGGTTGACTTTGGCTGCACTGACAAGTGTATATTGACTGCATTTATGTTGATGTGCACTCAGTTTGTTGTGTTGAATCTGGTGTGTGAGCAGTAGGTGGCGCTGTTCTCCCGCTCATGAACTGCAGCTCATTATTCAGCACAACCACTGCATCTCTCTCGCTCATGAACTCCTGTGAATGTTTATTTCAGGATAAACAGGATTGGGCGGGACTGATGTGTTTCCTGAGAGTGAGATCAGAATCTCTCTGAGACTCACGTGACTCGTTACAGACTCGTCTGTTTCTCAGCCGATTTTCCCCGACCAGACCGAGAGACTCGCTTTACTAATAAATACAGTGTGTGAAATATCATGGGTATTTACAGTTCTGGATGATCAATAAGGCTTTTCACTAATCAAACTTGAATACTTACTACATATTATATCAGATATTCAAAGCAACATTATCCAGCTCAGTTCAGTTTAAGTGTTTTTTCTGGATGAGCTGAACTGATCTGAATAATGACTCTATTGTCTTCTGTAGAGCTGCTTTACAGCTCAATCTGAATTAGTTCCATTCATTTTCTGACATTAACACTGTTAATTGCACTTGTATTTCGCATCATTTGCAGAATCTCGCAATCTAAAAACGTGCCGCTTGACTTAAAACTTTTAAAAAATGCATCTCAAGACCTTGAAGATATTTTCTCATTTCACAGCCCTACATTTTGAGAATTTAGTCACTGAGAGCAAATCACACGGATAACACTGTAAAATACTATTTACACAATTTCCTTGAATATATTTGAAAACTTGATGAGACAAATATCACCTAATCTAATCAGAGATAACTGGGTTATTACTAAAACTACAACCAGTAAAAACATCTAAAATAAAATAAATGTTCACTTTAAAAAAAAACTAAAAACTAGTCTTTCACTCAGAGATGCCAGTTATTACTAAAACTAAAACCACTAAAATATTTAAAATTAAATCAATGTGAATTTAAATGATAATAATAAAAATAAAACAAAATATTAAAAAATGTTAAACTTGTATTATTTTTGCAGGTGTCCAAGGAAACATTTCTTATTTTCATTTCGCTTACCTTGATATTAAAATAACTTAAAAATAAAACTGAAATAAAATGAATAAAAACTACATAAACATTGCAAAAAAATAAAAAAATAAAATTGTAAAAAAAGATAAAAACAAATCCTAAATATTAATATATAAATTAGAAGCCTTCACTAGATCCTTCTATTCTGAATAACTTCCGTCCCATTTCTGTTTTACCATTTATTTCAAAGGTTTTAGAAAAAATTGTATTTGACCAACTGCAGTTCTTCCTAAATCTTAATTGTACTACTGAATTTTTCAATCTGGTTTTAAATCTGCTCATAGTACTGAAACTGCCCTTCTCAGAGAGTTAAACGATGTCCTTTTAGCTACCTACTCTCTTAGATTTATCAGCAGCATTTGACACTGTGGACCACTCTATTTTGATATCTAGATTAGAGTCAGACGTGGGCCTAAAAGGTACAGTCCTTAAGTAGTTTCAGTCATTTTTATCCGACAGAATTTTTTTTGTCAAACTAGGTAACTTCTCTTCCTCTGTTGCTCCTCTCACCTGTGGCAGCCCTCAAGGCTCGATATTGGCACCCTCCCTTTTTTCCCTGTGCATGCTTCCTCTGGGTTCCATTGGACAGGAGGAGAGTTCAGCTTCACTGGAAACGCGCGATTGACAAACTTTAAACTAGTGATTTCAAATTATGCTGCGCTTTATGCATTTGCCTGCTGTCATATTCATGTCATTTTCATTGAATGCTGTATGTAAAATGAGTGTTACCTTGGCTTTATTTGAAAAAAAAAAAAAAGAAAAAAGATTTCTAATGCACACAAACGTCCCAGAATACTGAGTGCCCTGTTGGTTACAGTGTTTACTTCCTTTATAATTAGATTTTTATTAAATATTTATTTATAAGAAGGCATGGGGTGTCTTTTAATTTCTATGCTGATGATACCCAGATTTATTTACCTATTAAGAGAAATTATCCTTCAGCACTTAATACCTTACTAAGGTGCTTAGACGAGGTCAAAATCTGGCTAGCTCAAACATTTTTAACGTTAAATGAAGATAAAACAGAGGTGATTGTTTTCAGTCCTACTGATCATTCTCAGGCTACCAGCCTAGATCTGGGCAGCTTATCGGCCTTCAGATCTTCTCATACTGAGGGCCCTCCATTGGCTGCCTATTCAATTTAGAATCGATTTTAAAGTTCTCTTACTGGTGTATAAATCTTTACATAACCAAGCCCCTAGTTATCTCTCAGAGCTGTTGCACTTTTATACTCCCACTAGAAGTCTAAGATCCAGTGATCAGTATCTCCTTTTAGTTCCTCTGTCCAGACTAAAACGTAGAGGGGAGTCTTATTACATTGTATTATGGTCTTGTTTATCTGACATTCCTTTGGTTTTAAATTCATATGTTTTATTATTTCTGTTTTATGTGTTTATGGTTTGATTTTAATGTACAGCATTTTGGTCAGTCTTGTGGCTGTTTTTAAATGTGGTTTATAAATAAATGAACTTGAACTTGATACATAAAAAAAATATATTAAAAATAAAACTTTTCATTTATAAAAATACATTGTAAATATGAATAAAATCTAATTCTAAATATTACAAATAAAATTGTAATGTTTAATAAAAAATCTAATTCTAAATATTAATTATAAATATGCTAAATAAATATTGCATTACTGTTAACAAAAATAACAAATATTCTAAGTACGGATATATAAGACTGAATCTGAGGAGCGGTGACTCACAGGCAGTGCACGACGGTGCGTCCCTCTCCTCCGTCGTACTCCTCCTGCCATTTGTCCACCTGTCGGATGAGTTTGAGGAAGGAGCGTTTGGAGACGGGAGTGTCGCGGTACATCGGCCAGCCCAGAAACTGGAACTGCTGCACCATCCGGTACCCATCCTGCGGCTGCACACAAACCACACGTTCATGACACTCAAACAGCCGACTCTCGCGTAAGTGTGCAATGTAAGCGAGCGTTTACTCACCCGTGCCGCGTTATAGATGCGGAAGATCCTGCTGATGATGTCCTCCTCCAGATCCGCAGACACAAACTCCACCTGGATGGGTCCGTGCCGATGGACGCCGTTCTCTGGCCAGTACTGTGGACACAACTGGACACAAAACACACCAATCACACACATCAACATCACACACGTCAATTCAGTGGCCAGGTTCCATGGCTGATCAGTTTCACTAGGTCAAATCTTTCTAAAACAGCATGTCTATACTGGTTTACCAGCTAGACCAGCAATTAACCAGGGTAAACCAGCCTAGACCATCAATTATCCAGGGTAAACCAACCTAGACCAGCAACTGACCAGGATAAACCAGCTTAGACCAGCAAATGACCAGTATAAACCAGTCTAGACCAGCAACTGTCCAGTCCAAACCAGCCTAGACCAGCAACCAACTAGTATAAACCAGCCTAGACCAGCAACCGACCAGGAGAAACCAGCCTAGACCAGCAACTGACCAGGATAAACCAGCCTAGACCAGCAACTGACCAGTCCAAACCAGCCTAGACCAGCAGCTAACTAGAATAAACCAGCCTAGACCAGCAACTAACTAGTATAAATCAGTCCAGACCAGCACCTGACCAGTATAAACCAGTCTAGACCAGCAACTGACCAGGATAAACCAGCCTAGACCAGCAAATGACCAGTATAAACCAGCCTAGACCAGCAACTAACTAGACCAGCACCTGACCAGTATAAACCAGCCTAGACCAGCAACTGACCAGTTCAAATCAGTCTAGACCAGCAACTAACCAGTATAAACCAGCCTAGACCAGCAACTGACCAGTTCAAATCAGTCTAGACCAGCAACTAACCAGTATAAACCAGCCTAGACCAGCAACTGACCAGTTCAAATCAGTCTAGACCAGCAACTAACCAGTATAAACCAGCCTAGACCAGCAACTGACCAGTTCAAATCAGTCTAGACCAGCAACTAACCAGTATAAACCAGCCTAGACCAGCAACTGACCAGTTCAAATCAGTCTAGACCAGCAACTAACCAGTATAAACCAGCCTAGACCAGCAACTGACCAGTTCAAATCAGTCTAGACCAGCAACTAACCAGTATAAACCAGCCTAGACCAGCAACTGACCAGTTCAAATCAGTCTAGACCAGCAACTAACCAGTATAAACCAGCCTAGACCAGCAACTGACCAGTCCAAATCAGTCTAGACCAGCAACTAACTAGTATAAATCAGTCTAGACCAGCACCTGACCAGTATAAACCAGCCTAGACCAGCAACTGACCAGTCCAAATCAGTCTAGACCAGCAACTAACTAGTATAAATCAGTCTAGACCAGCACCTGACCAGTATAAACCAGCCTAGACCAGCAACTGACCAGTCCAAATCAGTCTAGACCAGCAACTAACTAGTATAAATCAGTCTAGACCAGCACCTGACCAGTATAAACCAGCCTAGACCAGCAACTGACCAGTCCAAATCAGTCTAGACCAGCAACTAACTAGTATAAATCAGTCTAGACCAGCACCTGACCAGTATAAACCAGCCTAGACCAGCAACTGACCAGTTCAAATCAGTCTAGACCAGCAACTAACTAGTATAAACCAGCCTAGACCAGCAACTGACCAGTTCAAATCAGTCTAGACCAGCAACTAACTAGTATACACCAGCCTAGACCAGCAACTGACCAGTCCAAATCAGTCTAGACCAGCAACTAACTAGTATAAATCAGTCTAGACCAGCAACTGACCAGGATAAACCAGTCTAGACCAGCAACTTAGTATTGTCATAATCTTTTTTTATTGTATAATGTTCACTAACAGCCAAATAGCAATTTACACATTGCTTGATCAAACTCAAAACTAAAAATAAATAACTTGCATAAAAATAAATAACTTATTAATAATTAAACCATAAAAATAAACAATAAAAATAAATAAATAATTTAAAAATACAAACAATCAAAATAATCACTTTAAAATAAAACAAGTAAAATAAACACTTATTAATAATGAAATCATAAAATTGTACAACTAAAAATAATTGTAAAATAAAAACAATAAAAAACAAATAACATTAATACGTAAATCATAAAAATAAACAATAAAAATAAAATAAATAATTGAAAAATAAAATAAATAAATGAAAAATAAAAACAATCAATATAAACAATGTTTATACATTAAAAAAAATGTTTTTTTGTTGTTTACCTGCATGTCATGTGACAATTAACTGATATCAGAGAAACCTGAACAATGCAAATGTGTTGTTAAATTATTCAAATATTAACAAAATGTCATGGAGGCTTTCAGTCCAAGTGATTGTTCAACTGACAGAAACGCTTGGGAACTCCTGATTAATTTGATGTCAGAGCAGTGCATGTGTGACAGACGCATCTGCAGCAGGAGTCTGCGCTGTTGCGCGTCTCTGATCCTGACGGCCGTGTTCAGGTGTGTGTGTGTTTCTCACCTGCGCGGGATCCACGTCGTTCAGCATCACTATAGACGTGCAGTGATAGTCCAGCACCAGCCTCCAGAAGTCTTTGACGGTGTTGGGCAGAGGATGCTGGGTAACGATGAACGCAGACGGCTGCTTGTAGCTCTGTGAAGATGAAGATGAAGATGAAGAGAGGAAAACATCTTATTTCCTGTCTGACTGTCTGCTTGAATAATAGTGTGGAGAAGTTTAGCGTTGAGCTGCGTGTTTTATTACCGCCGCCATTTACTGTAATGAAAACAAATGCACTGTCGCGTGTTTTACAAACAAACCCATCCCAGTCAATCGTCTTACTGCATTTTTTTTGTTCATTCTCTGTTATGGATCGCTTTTAGCTATTTTCCTGACAATGAAATGAATCAATTCCATCTGTTTTTGAATTATTTTCAACAAGCACATAATCATGTGTGCTGCGATTCACATCCATCAGAGACACTGTCGCTTCAGACGCACAAAAACGAGCGGTTATTATAGACACGGATGCAATTAATAAAATTAATTAAGTTAATAAAATCATAAATGTGGAAAATTAACAATTTAAAAATAAAAACAAAACAGTACTAATTAAATCATAAAATGTATAATAATCATACAAAATGTATTAAAAAAGTCAAATAAAACAATTTTAACAATAATAATTCATAATTTTAAAATAAAACAAAGTAAAACACTTTAAAAAATAATTAAATAAAAATGTAAAACAAAATAAAAATGATTTAAATAAAACATGTATTAATAGTGAATTAAATCATCAAAACTGTATAATAATTAATAAACTATCATAAAAATGTGAAATAAAAATAAATAAAAAAAAACAATCAATCAAATTAAAACACTTATTAATAAATAGTTAAATAATATCAAATGAAAATAAATCATTCTAAAATAGAAACAATTGAATTAAATATTTATGATTTAATGAATTAATAATAATTAAATCAGATCGTAAAAAATGTATAATAATGAAAATTTTGAAAATGTGAAATGACAATAATATTAAAATAAATTCAATCAATAAAATAAAAGCACTAATAAAAAATTAAACTATAAAAACAAAACAAAAAAAAAAACAACAAATAAATAACTTAATTAAATAATTAATAAAAAAAAACGTATTAATTCAAATTAATCAATTAATCAAAATAAAATAAATTTTACATTAAATTAATTAATTAAACCTAGGTTAAGTGCTGCAGGTAACGATCACTAGGTTAAGCGCTGCAGGTAACGGTCACTAGGTTAAGCGCCGCAGGTAACGGTCTCTAGGTTAAGCGCTGCAGGTAACGGTCACTGCTGAAGGTAACGGTCACTAGGTTAAGAGCTGAAGGTAATGGTCACTAGTAATGGTCAGTAGTTTAAGAGCTGCAGGTAACGGTCACTAGGTTAAGAGGTGAGGTAACGGTCACTAGGTTAAGCACCGCAGGTAACGGTCACTAGGTTAAGAGGTGAGGTAACGGTCACTAGGTTAAGCACCGCAGGTAACGGTCACTAGGTTAAGAGGTGAGGTAACGGTCACTAGGTTAAGCACCGCAGGTAACGATCACTAGGTCAAGCGCCGCAGGTAACGTCACTAGGTTAAGCGCCGCAGGTAACGGTCACCAGGTTAAGCGCCACAGGTAACGGTCACCAGGTTAAGCGCCACAGGTAACGGTCACTAGGTTAAGAGGTGAGGTAACGGTCACTAGGTTAAGCACCGCAGGTAACGATCACTAGGTCAAGCGCCGCAGGTAACGTCACTAGGTTAAGCGCCGCAGGTAACGGTCACCAGGTTAAGCGCCACAGGTAACGGTCACCAGGTTAAGCGCCACAGGTAACGGTCACTAGGTTAAGAGGTGAGATAATGATCACTAGGTTAAACACTGTAACTAACGGTCACTAGGTTAAGCACTGTAGGTAACAGTCACTAGGTTAAGCGCTGCAGGTAAGGGTCACTAGGTTAAGCGCTGCAGATAACGGTCACTAGGTTAAGTGGATTTGAGACTTTAGTCTTTGCAACTTTACAGATCTTCTTTATGCACCAGGAGCTTGTAACACTCCAAAGAGAAAGGAAAAATTGAAATCGCAACATATGACCCCTTTAAGCATTGTAACTAACGGTCACTAGGTTAAGCGCTGCAGGTAACAGTCACTAGGTTAAGCGCCGCAGGTAACAGTGACTAGGTGAAGATCTAAGGTAACGGTCACTAGGTTAAGAGGTGAGGTAATGATCACTAGGTTAAGCACTGTAACTAACGGTCACTAGGTTAAGTGCTGCAGGTAACATTCACTAGGTTAAGCGCCGCAGGTAACAGTGACTAGGTGAAGATCTAAGGTAACGGTCACTAGGTTAAGAGGTGAGATAATGATCACTAGGTTAAACACTGTAACTAACGGTCACTAGGTTAAGCACTGTAGGTAACGGTAACTAGGTTAAGCGCTGCAGGTAACGGTCACTAGGTTAAGCGCCGCAGGTAACAGTCACTAGGTTAAGAGGTGAGGTAACGGTCACTAGGTTAAGCACCGCAGGTAACGGTCACTAGGTTAAGAGGTGAGGTAATGATCACTAGGTTAAAGGGGTCATATGATGCTGCTAAAAATAACATTATTTTGTGTATTTGGTGTAATGAAATGTGTTTATGTGGTTTAAAGTTAAAAAAACACATTATTTTCCACATACTGTACATTATTGTTTCTCCTCTATGCCCCGCCTTTTTGAAACGAGTCGATTTTTACAAAGCTCATCGGTCTGAAAAAGCGAGGTGTGCTGTGATTGGCCAGCTATCCAGTGCATTGTGATTGGCCAAATACCTCAAGCGTGTGACTGAAATGTTACGCCCCTCACCATATCGTGATGCCGTGTCCCAGAGTCACGAGACAAAACCAATAAAACCCATTATAAACGAGGCATTTGTTGCATCCAGTGGGGACATAATTAC